CCATTTACACAAGCTCCTTAACTAGATTACTCGATGTTTCCATCTGTTCCTCTTGCTTTCAGTATGTTCTGTGAGTGTCACATTCTCCAAGCCCTTTTTCCTCATTATTTTTATGAGAGATTTCAACTCTCTCTTTTTAAATCTAAGTGAAATTTTTTTTCTTGTTCTCATTGACCTGAAAACTTCCTTGTTGCTCATATGTTCCGTCCATGGTATTCTCAGTATTCTTTTGTAAAACCACATCCTCGTTACCACTTCATGGATGAAGAAATTACCCAGTACTTACAGTCATACAGGAGGATTGATATTATGTACCAGTTCAGTACGCTTAGTTTCTTAATGAAATTTTCTTCTCTCTTAATACTTTGTTTAGCTTTTAGAAGATATTATCTCGATTCCAGTTCTCCTTCGGATTCTTGTCTCACTTTATGTCGTATAATTCTTCCCAGCCAGTTCAATTTCTGTATTTGCTTGATTTTGGTATCTCCAATTTGTTGCTGGCACCTTCGGTAGTCTCTTTTACTAACGACTACGCATTGTCTTTTTACAATCCGGCCTGTGGAGTTAGACGAGGTACAAATACTGGTTGTCTACGGCATCTGGGTAAACTTTAGCCTACCAGAAAACTCACATTTGTGTACAAGGGATTTTTCAGTACACTCACAGGTCGAGGTTTAAAGTGGGTTTATCGGCAAAATTATTCGAAACCCCTCGGCACGTCCCTCAGGCGCTGGAAAATGACCCCAGCCCGAAGGAGAGAGACTGTCTGAGAGGATGCCCCCCCCCCTGGGCTTGAGATAATATTAATTTTAAACTACACCATTTGGTGACGTAGAAGTATATAGCGACTTACTAACTGTAGTTTAGATGTGGCAAAAGGCCGAAGGTTTGGAGTACCCAGCGAAGATCGATCTCACTACTCAGTCGAAATTGATCTAGCGAGACAAACTTGCTAACCATTGCGCCATACCAATGTTTCCACACACATATTCTCCCTTTATATATCTATAATTCTCAAAATTTGCGTGTGTGTGCGTGTGATCGGATGTTGTTTATGCGTTTCCACAGTTTTCATGTGATTTCGATGAAATTTGTTTTTTGGTTTGATAGAAAATTCTTCAGTGCCGGTTTTGAGTCCAAATTTACTGGAAAAAATTACAATCTTGAAGGTGAAAATCGAAAAAAACTGATTTTTTACACTTTGCGCAAAAATCAAAGGTAAAATTTAATGTCTGTAAAAAACATTTAGAGAGTTGAAATCTAACGCAAAAGATCATTAGAATTATAAAAAAAAGATATATTATAAATAAAAATTATCGTATATTATTATTATGACGGTCCATGGAAGAGGTTCCTTCCTTGCAAGATTGAGAACGCAAAAACAGCCCTTTTCAGGGGCACCGTCTAATTCAAATTGTTACCCCCGCCATTTGGGGGTGTGCTTCATTTGCACCCAATTGTTGTTACTAATATTGATTTTCGGGTGGGTTGACTTTAAACTGTTCCAATTGAACGACAAAATTTCCCAGTAATGAAACACCCGGTCGAAGACAGGTTATACTGCTAATTCGCATATAAGTCCCGGGAGATATTTTAAAGCTATATTGTCAGTAAAATATTTTATATGCTTATAAATAGAGTTTATTACAAAAATTCGTATACATCAAGGATTCTACCATCCTCCTTATACTCGCTATAGGGAACATTTGTGACTTCACAATGCTATATATAAAGTTATAGTATAGCTGGCCACTCGTATTTGAGGATACCTGTCTACTAGGGCGGCTAGCCAATCCCTATTGCAGACGCTTGCTCAGGTGCATTTGTGCTTATTCAAACCCAAAAGAGCCCACCTGTAGTTTATACTGCAACTATGCTGAGTAGACCTTTGTTACAGTTTCTGGGAAAGAGTGTGTTATCTAGCGTGATCAACAATTTGAACAAGGCCAGCAACGCTCAAGTTCTCGGCTACGATGACTTGTGACTTCGTGCTAGCATATAAAGTTATACGAATTAGTTGAAAACTTACCTGTATCTCCGGTATTTATCTTAGGTAGTACAAGCGAATGGCCTAAATGATGTCTTTGGTCCCAACGAAAATCATGGATTTATTTTATGTATTGCTTTGAAAATTGTCACCATTATGAGCCCAGGAATTACATTTAATTTATATTTCTAATGTCTAGGGGTTTCAGAGAAAAAAAAGATTTTAAGTGCTATATATAACCAATCAAATACAAGTATATTTACAAAAATATACTTGTATTTTGATTGGTCATTTCAGCTCATGTGACAGCGTTTCACCTTACGAGAGGCGGTTAATTAATTTGAACCTTTTAAAAACTTTTATCTACATTCAACATCATCACTTGATAAGACACCAGAGGTGTTGAAACAAAATGGATATTTTTGTAGTGAATTTTAACATATATATGTTATAATTTTTTAAATAAATATATTATATATATATATATATATATATATATATATATATATATATATATATATATATATTGAAAAGTAGATTTTTTTGTTACTGGATGTTGTATTTGAAATATGTTAAATTTCAAAGTGGGGTATTTTGTAGTTTTTTTTTTGAAGCCGAACCCCACATTCGTCATCATATAATCGGGAGGGGACTTTCAAATAGACGACTTTTTAAAAACTAAATTACCTTTTGCTTCTCCGAATATTTCTCGTGTACATTGACCATATTTTTATGGTTGGTTTTTAACACATCAACATGTGTTGGGTTATTAATTTCGAATATAAGTCTTCTTGAACAAAATTCAAAATGAATTAATAATCTGGTAGGTATAGGGCCGGTGTACACTCGAATCAAAAAGGTAGCAATAGGTCCGTTTTACACTAGAATCAAAACGGTATACACGGATCTGGTTTACATGAGATTCAAAAAGGTAAACATAGGCCCGTTTTACACGAGTTAGGTAGGTAGACATAGGCCCGTTAACATAAATTTATCCTTCCCGATGTAGATTAATACCTCGACAGATCTAACACTTGATACAAGCTTCGTTAGTCTGTACAATAGAGTCAAATATGTATACACGGATCTGATTTACATGAGATTTAAAAAGGTAAACATAGGCCCGTTTTACACGAGTTAGGTAGGTAGACATAGGCCCGTTAACATAAATTTATCCTTCCCGATGTAGATTAATACCTCGACAGATCTAACACTTGATACAAGCTTGTTAGTCTGTACAATAGAGTCAAATATGTATACACGGATCTGATTTACATGAGATTTAAAAAAGGTAAATATAGGCCCGTTTTACACGAGTTAGGTAGGTAGACATAGGCCCGTTAACATAAATTTATCCTTCCCGATGTAGATTAATACCTCGACAGATCTAACACTTGATACAAGCTTCGTTAGTCTGTACACTAGAGTCAAATATGTATACACGGATCTGATTTACATGAGATTCAAAAAGGTAAACATAGGCCCGTTTTACACGAGTTAGGTAGATAGACATAGGCCCGTTAACATAAATTTATCCTTCCTGATGTAGATTAATACCTCGACAGATCTAACACTTGATACAAGCTTCGTTAGTCTGTACACTAGAGTCAAATATGTATACACGGATCTGATTTACATGAGATTCAAAAAGGTAAACATAGGCCCGTTTTACACGAGTTAGGTAGGTAGACATAGGCCCGTCAACATAAATTTATCCTTCCCAGTGTAGATTAATACCTCGACAGATCTAACACTTGATACAAGCTTTGCTAGTCTGTACCATCGCAAATCAAATTTCGTTGTAGTTTTGAAAGATTTGTTCTATTATTATTATTATTATTTTAATCAAGCAAGACGAAAATGTAACTAAGACGCTTGGGAGTACTGAGAGTGAAAGAGAATGGGAAGACTTTAGTGAGAAGGAAGAACAATAAAAGAACTCGATTTAGGAAGACAGAAGATGGTTATTGAAGTCTTATTTAAAATTTTGAAGATCGTAGGTGACTTGGAAGCAAGGAAACAGAAGATTGTTCCACAGGTGAGAAGTGCAAGAAAAGAAACTATTAGAATAGAGCTTACAGTTACGCCAAGCTATTTCAAAAGTAAAACGATGTGACCTAACTGCCAATCTAGTAAATCGCTTAATTCCATGCGGTCGAGGTACCATGGAGGAGATCTTATTAGAACAAATGCCATGAAAATATTTGTAGAAAAAACAGAGGAAATCTGTGTCAACGGCGGTGGGAAAGTGACTGAAGACAAGATGCCAGGCCATGAGCGATAATATTACAAATCCTTCTTTGGATTATGTCGAGAATTTCTAGATATATTACAAGAGCAAGAAACTAAATATGGCAGCAATATTCAATGCACGGACGAATGACAGATTTATAAATGTGCAAAATGGATTCTGACGTGAAAACTTGCTTGCCACGCTGAGTTGCATTCTGTATGCATTACAGGGTCTACACTCGTATACTTGTAAAATCCTTACTACCGAAGATCGTCTCGCATGAGTCATAAGGATCTTGATTTCATGATTTGAAGACCTTTGCAAATGGAGGTGTCGGCGCCGAGATTCGAACCTCAGACAACGATGAGTTGTTAAATAATCAGTGATCAATACACCTATTTCTCTACCCAATGAATTCAATGTAAACCGAATTAACTTCACATATTTGAAATCAGGGAAAGGATTAGAAGCTCTTCTTCGTTATTTAGCTTACAACAGCCATTTAATTCTACGTTCACCAATTCAACAGCACGGTTCACAAGAAAGACAAAGACGAGATACTAAATGAAGAAATAAAAAAATGAATGAATAAAAAATAGAGATTCTGAATAGTTTGTCCTGATTCTTTGGTTGTGCTTGACTAGACATTTACAATCAGCATGTCAGTGGACATCATTGGCAGTCGATTAGTCAGTGGAGTCGGCCGCCATGAGCAACTCATTAGATTTTTCGTCCAAGTAGCCTTGCCACTGATGACAAAGTCTAAGAATAGTAAAGATGCTATAAGGTCGAAAGGACACCATTATACCCTTCAGTGGCCTGGACAAAAAGAACTCCTGTTTCTGAGAGTCCGAAATAAATAAATAAGAAAATAAAAAAATATGAATAAATAAGAAAAAAAAAAAACAGGCCAATCGAACGATCCCTCAAAAAAAAAAAAAAAAAAGAAAAAAGTAAAATACAATATTTACAAGAAAAGAAATATATAAAAATTGAAAAGGGACACTTGAATAATCAAGAAGAAACATTTACTAAATGTTCTTGTTCAGAATTCAAAGAATCTGATGTCCCGATTCTTTTTCAGTCTCCTTTTTTCAAACAAAAAAAAAATGAAAGAATAAAAAATAAGATAAAAAGGAAAAGAATAAGGAAAACAAAGAATAAAAGAAAAGAAAAAGTAAAGAAAAAGAGCAAATAATAAAAAGAAAGAAAAAGAAAAGAATAAAAAGAATAAAGAATTGAAAAGGAAGAAAAAACAAAAGAACAAGAAAGAATAAGAAAAAGGTAAATAATGATAAAAGGGAAAGAAAAAGAAACTATATGGAAAGTGAAACAAAACGGGAAAAGAAAGAATAGGGAAGCAGAAAAGAAAGAATAAAACTAAATAAACAATAAGGAAAACGCAAAAACAAGAAAGAAAAAGAAAGAAAAAGAAAGAACAAAACAAAAGAAGCAATAAGGAAAAAGAAAGAAAAAGAAAGAAAAAGAAAGAACAAAACAAAAGAAGCAATAAGGAAAAGAAAGAAAAGAAAAAAAAAAAAAAAAAACAAAAAGAAGCAATAAGGAAAAAGAAAGAAAAAGAAAGAAAAAGAAAGAACAAAACAAAAGAAGCAATAAGGAAAAAGAAAGAAAAAGAAAGAAAAAGAAAGAACAAAACAAAAGAAGCAATAAGGAAAAAGAAAGAAAAAAAAAGAAAAAAAAAAAAGAAAATAAGGAAAAAGAAAGAAAAGAAAGAAAAAGAAATAACAAAAAAAAAGAAAATAAGGAAAAAGAAAAAGAAAAAAAAGAAAAAAAGAAAGAAAAAACAAAAGAAGCAATAAGGAAAAGAAAGAAAAGAAAAGAAAAGAAAGAACAAAACAAAAAAGAAGCAATAAGGAAAAAAAAAGAAAAAGAAAGAAAAGAAAGAACAAAACAAAAAGAAGCAATAAGGAAAAAGAAAAAAAGAAAGAAAAGAAAGAACAAAACAAAAGAAGCAATAAGGAAAAAAAAAAAAAAAAAGAAAGAAAAAGAAAGAACAAAACAAAAGAAGCAATAAGGAAAAAGAAAGAAAAAGAAAGAAAAAGAAAGAACAAAACAAAAGAAGCAATAAGGAAAAAGAAAGAAAAAGAAAGAAAAAGAAAGAACAAAACAAAAGAAGCAATAAGGAAAAAGAAAGAAAAAGAAAGAAAAAGAAAGAACAAAGCAAAAGAAGCAATAAGGAAAAAGAAAGCAAAAGAAAAAGGGAGAGTAAGGATAATAAAAGAAAATGAATGAAAGAACGAGATAAAAACAAAAAAAAAAAACAAAAAAAAACAGAAGCGACACCAAGTGGCCAAACTAAAAACAACAACGTCTTCCGTATCTGGTCACACCATACAGTCAAACATGCTTTCCCATCTTCCGCTGTTTCACTGAGACACGATCCTATATACGAATAAACATACGCAATAAATTATGCATATATGTTAGGGTACTCATACCCCACTACCCACCACACACATACACGAATTCGCTAGTAGTCTTTCACTGGAGTTCATTTTTTATATGTGTAAACCATATATCTTTGAAAAGGGACCGATCAAAGTCATACCACGATTACGCAAACGTGGAGAAAGTGAATGATATAGAAACACACACACACACACATTAATGCATATATGAACACCCCGGCACATTGACAATTAGGCACAAGCAAAAATACATATTCTTATTAAAACATGAATTCAGGGGGAACGTATCTAGATGCGTAATGATCAAGCCGACAGTCATAAACCCGCGTGCACACGCGCACATATGTGAGGGGGTTTCTGAAAAGTTATCGACCCGACCAAGATTGGATTCCACTTAATAGTCTGATGTTTGGTTATGTGGTCAGATATTGTCAAGTCGAGCCGAGAACTTTTCAGCACCTCTCTGTGCAGCGTATATAATCATGAAGTACGCATCTACGTATTAGCAGATAGTCGGTGGGGGAATTAACAAATAAAAACAAAGAGTTAAAAATTAGATAGACTGCATAAAGCAACAAATAAAAATAGAGAGAAATTGACAGACTGCATAACGCAGCAAAAATAGAAAGATATTGATAGATTGACTGTATATATATATAGAGAGAGAAGCTGATAGACTGCATAAAGCAGCAAATAAAAATAGATAGAGAGAAATTGATATACTGGAAAAAGCAGCAAATAAAACGGGGATAGACAAACAGGTCGAAATAAAGCGAAGGCGATTGAAAAAAGGCAACAAATGATAAGAAAAGGTCTTGCTAGATAGATAGGTGAACAGGATGAGATAAAGCGAAGGAGACTGAATAAAAGGCAACAAATGATAAGAAAAGGTCTAGCTAGATAGATAGACAGATAGGTTAAAAGGCTGAGTTAAAGCGTAGGACATTGAAATAAGGCAACAAATGAAAAGAAAAGGTCTTGCTAGATAGATAGGTGAACAGGATGAGATAAAGCGAAGGAGACTGAAAAAAGGCAACAAATGATAAGAAAAGGTCTAGCTAGATAGATAGACAGATAGGTTAAAAGGCTGAGTTAAAGCGTAGGACATTGAAATAAGGCAACAAATGAAAAGAAAAGGTCTTGCTAGATAGATAGGTGAACAGGATGAGATAAAGCGAAGGAGACTGAAAAAAGGCAACAAATGATAAGAAAAGGTCTAGCTAGATAGATAGACAGATAGGTTAAAAGGCTGAGTTAAAGCGTAGGACATTGAAAAATGGCAACAAATGAAAAGAAAAGGTCTTGCTAGATAGATAGGTGAACAGGATGAGATAAAGCGAAGGAGACTGAAAAAAGGCAACAAATGATAAGAAAAGGTCTAGCTAGATAGATAGACAGATAGGTTAAAAGGCTGAGTTAAAGCGTAGGACATTGAAATAAGGCAACAAATGAAAAGAAAAGGTCTTCCTAGATAGATAGGTGAACAGGATGAGATAAAGCGAAGGAGACTGAAAAAAGGCAACAAATGATAAGAAAAGGTCTAGCTAGATAGATAGACAGATAGGTTAAAAGGCTGAATTAAAGCGTAGGACATTGAAAAAAGGCAACAAATGAAAAGAAAAGGTCTTGCTAGATAGGTGAACAGGATGAGATAAAGCGAAGGAGACTGAAAAAAAGGCAACAATAAAAAGGGCTAGATAGATATATAGATAAACTGTATAAAGCAACAAATAAGAAAGTGATAAATAAATAAACAGGCCAAGATAAAGTGAGGGAAAGTGAAGAAAAGGTAACAAATGAAATGAAAAGGGCTAATTAGCTAGATAGACTGCATAAGGCTATAAATAAAAATAGTTATGGTTGACTAACTTGTGTCTTTCTATACAAACTTGTTATTTCTTTTTTCTTCTAGGTTTTGCCTAATTTCGCTTTGATGTAATTTATCGTCGTGCATGTGTTCTGATATAATACTTAGCTGTATATGTAAACCATTCGCGTAATGAACATATAAAACATTTCATTCAGTTAATCAATACAATATAGATGAATACAGCAATTAATTATTCCGCCGATAAGGGAAATATAAAACATTTTTTTGAATGTATTTTAACATTTGAAACCATTATACATAGGAAAATGTTTCTTTTCGCATTGCTACCAATTGGCTTTACTTGTAGCCACCACTTATTTCCTTGGCTGCATAAGCAAATGAAATATTTCAGTAGGAAAATATATTAAGGACCGATTTGAAAATATTTTTTTATCTAATTAGCAAATTTCGGCCATCGATATATTGTGCATTTAAAATTAATGAAAGGGGTTTGCAAATTAGAAGTTACTGTTTGGCACACACACACACACACACACACATGCAAGATCCAAATTATAGAGAACCAATATTATTTACGTATACTTAAGGAACTGTGTTCCTGATCAATCCGAATTCATAAATAATTATAATGGGTATACTACAACATGTTTAACAAGATGAAGAAAGAACAGTAAGATATATAATCCGGTGTTCTTATAGATATTTTTATTTTTACAAAATAGTGCTCAATGTAAATTTACAGAGCATTGATATTATAAATTAACTGATTTAAAATGTGTTTTTTTTTTTCGCTACACAGTTCTGACCATGTTTCAAAAATGGAAGCTGAAAGCTCCGGATTTAATTTTGTAATTAAATTAAAGGCATTAGTTCCATTTCATTAAATTAAAGACATTAGTTCCATTTCATCCTCAAGCGAATTTTTGTTATATAATATAAGTGTGTGTGTGTGTGTATAAAATTTTAGATAGAATATATTTGTAATAGGGCATAAATATAAATAAATACAAAAGAAAAATTTTAGCCGATGCGTTTCATCCTCTAAAGCGGACAATGCATTTGCCTTGATGAAGTTCTTCAAAGGACGAAAGGAATCGACTAAGATAAGTTTTCCTTTTGTCTTTATTCATATATGTTTGTGTGTGTGAATTAAGTAAATAAATATAGATACAAATAACCATATATGCGTGTGATCACGCGCATATATTTTGTCTAATTTTTAGTGTTAACAAAAGAGTGCTCAAAGGTGGTAATACAAAGCTATAAAGTATATATTAATAAATATACATACTACGTTACGTCGAAAGTACGACTCGAAGTTTCATGTTCAGTACAATCTTCAGGTACTTATAGTGGTGATACAAGTACCTAAAAATTGTACTGAATATGAAACTCCAAATTATACTTTCGACGTAAGGTTATATATATATATATATATATATATATATATATATATATATATCGAACACACCATGTAACTATGGAAACTGTGAAAACCATATAGATGCTGAAATTTATTTTTATTTCACTGTTTTATGTGAGTTGTTTTCAAAACACAAATGACAACATGAAGGGAATGGTTACCATGGTAACAACTTTTCTTTAGAATTTTTCATTTTAGTTTTGGAAATACGGAAAACAGCGAGAACAAAAATAAACTTCAACAACTAACTTGCCTTCACATATTCCATTTTAAGTACACGATAAGAAGGGGTGCTGAAAATATCTTGACCCACTTCCCAAAATGTTGCCAAATCAACACGCTTAAGTATTAGACACTTAGATGTGGTGGAATGGTTGGTTAGCCAGCTTGTCTTGCTAGATTAATTACGATTGTGTAATTAGTTCAATCCTCACTGAGTGTTCCATACTTTCAACCTTGTGCCACAGTAAATCGCCAACACGCGAGAATTTGATTACAAGTAGATTTTAGGTTTTTAATTTACTTACTATTTTTGCTAATATAAAACTGACGTTACTGTACTTTCTTGTGTCTAATACCCTCCCTTCCTTCCTAAACTGAAGACAGAGAATAAATTACATCCTTAAGAGGACATAGTATAGCTATTCCTATGTGGTACCATATCATTCATTAAAATCTCAGTACCGTTGACATATTTCATTAAAAGATTTAATTCTTCACGATATTAAAAAATCAAAATGGTGGATGTTTACCAATTGCATTTTCTTTCTTCTAATTTCAAATTCAAATCTTATTTTCGAATTTTAGGAGAAAGTTGCTAACTAGACATGCCAGCTAATACGTTTTAAGGAGTTAATTAATCTATCATACTTTTCTTAGTTTTCTATTTGATATAACTTTATTATATTTCAATATATTAATAAACTATGAAAATAAAAGAATATTGTCTTTCATTAAGATGAAGAGAGAAACAAATATTGCCGACATATCAAATACATTTTTCAAAAAATTGTTATCATGACCTGCTTTGTGTTTTATTATCTACGAGTCTTCTACCCGTACCCGGTTGAATCACTGACGATTCAGGTTATAAAACATTGAAGTTGATTTCAACATTAACAAAAATTGTCTGTTTGAAGAAAGTTGCAATAAAAATACTTACTGTGTAAACACCTCGTATTTTTAAATCTTGTTCAGTTAAATTATTTTTTTAAATATGCTAAAAATATTGTTTCTTTAAAGAAAGCTGAAATATAAATAATTGCTCTACAAACAAGTGGACGAAACAACAAAGCGGGATCTCTCTGTGTTTGTCTTTAACTTTAAAATATTTTAATTAAAAAATGATCGGTTTGAAGAAAGTTAAAATAAAAATACTTAGTGTATAAACAACTTGTAAATCATTATGCGCTGGTCAGACGCACTCCGCAAGCACGCAACCACAGACTTTTAGTATTATATAGATTGTGCAAAATCAGTTTATTTGAAAACATATTGTTTCAAATAAGATGCTTTTTAAGCTGAGTAAAATTTCTGAAAACGTGTACATGGGTATAATGCGATATAGTGGCGTGGGCTTAGGGGTTAAAATGAATAGTTGATTTACCTACGCCAAGAAGATTAATGAAGAACGATAATGACGGGGAAACATACGGGTAATTTTAACAAAATAACATAAGGGATTTATTCACGAATTTACACGCTTAAATTAGTGTTAGTAGCTCATTTCCAGAAAATAATTAAAACATTTTAAAGTCCACAGTTTTAACATATTGTCACGAAGTAGAAATGTTCATACAACAGATTAAATGATCTGACACAAAATAGTATTCAAAAATGTTTCGGACAAAGGTTAGAGAATTTGTTGCTCATCGAAGGGATATATAGTTACATATATTCAAAAGTAGACGAAGATACATAGTTTGAAATACTTAGCTTTCTTGAATTGCTGAGAGAGAACGAGAGTACTTTAAAGTGCCTTTTGCCAGTTAGATACCAATAATATAATTGGCGAGTAATTTTACACTGGCGAGTACTTGAACGCTGGTCGTGAGTAACTGAAACGAAACCTTTCACGTGACTTCAGGTACTCTTCTGATTAATTTCATTTTTCTCCTCATTTTCTATGAAAAATAATTTCGCGTAGGCTCGCTACTTTCTTTCCTTCTTCTTCTTGGGTCACAGGTTAATTTCTGTGAAGGCAAGGTTTTCATTGGGTCAAAAAAAGTTCACATAGGCTCGCAAATTTCTTTGCTTCTTCTTCTCGGGTGACCGGTTAATTTCCGTGAAAGGCAAAAAATGCACAAGAAAATACGGTAACATATCTTGTGTAGGTTTGTGTTTTATTTTAAACACTTGAACATGTTGCTTTCAATGTGTACCATGTGAAATTTAAAGAAGGTAGGACATAAGGGGTTGTCTATACTAACACCGTTGGTTTGGATGTAAATATCTCCTTTATGGTTGTAGTGTTTGGGACCAGAATCAGAATCATGACGGACAGTTTCTACACTCTCTTAGACTCCATAAAAGAAAAACCGAATAAAAAAATTGATAAAATTTACCCTGCTTGTCACATTAAATGGAACATGCATAAAAGATAGGTTGCTACCCAAATATATAATATAGTTGGTCTCTTCTGTATAAGATCCAAAAATTAAAAAAAATTAAATCTGTTAATTGAAATTTGATTTCGTTGCTTTTGTTTACCGTCATATCAAACTATATGAGTTAATTAATACCGAAATCTAAATATTCATGACTTCAACTACAGTCATTGTGTACATAATTTTATACTTCCAGGGTGTGTTTTGTAGATTACCTGTAGATGTTATATGCTATGGTATAAACCTTTTTCTTTAAGGTAAAGCATTATGTCGACAGTTTCAATATTTTCAAACAATTTTCTCATTTTTTTCCCTGTAGTATTTATGTCTTACACGGGCAAAGTGAATACATTCAATTAACATGTGTTTCACCATGAGTGCAGCTTGGCGTGTTGTATACGTTGGTTGGTCTTCATTCTTCAACAAGTACGATTAGGTGAGATATGTGTGGCCTATGAGTTGTCGAGTTTGTATTACTTAAATTTTGCTTTCTTTTCTAGACATTTGTTTTCAATTAACTAGGATTGGTTTGATTGTGAGAAGGCTATTATTTGTGTTGTTGGTCCAGCTCTTTTGTCATTTCTGTTGAATGTAACTGTTTATTTTGCATTCTAGGTACGTAGAAGAGAGCTAGAAATTATTATCAGGGGTTTCGTTTTGGGCAAACCTATTAATTAGAGAAAAATATGTTAAAATATAACAGGCACAATTTGAAATATGCATTTAAACATTCCTCCTTGGGTTGTGAATCCAGAGTTTTCCTTCATCAGGACTAGTTGTGTTGCCAAACAAGGCTAAACAGACCAGTCTGCCCTACTATTTAATATCGTAACTGTGGCAATTGGGACGCTGCTCTACGATTTCCCATTTCGAGCCGTTATCCATTATATATATATATATATATATATATATATATATATATATATATATATATTCATATTTCTCAACAAGAGAAATTAGCTGTAATAACATTTCTAGACCCCCCCCCATACTTTTAAACCAGAAATCGGAAATTGTGTTCCGTTGTATTCATACTAAAAAGTTCATTTTGAGTTCATTTGAAGTGGGATAAAATGTATATTTTATTTAATCCCCCACCGATACATTACCAATACACTTGGTTATCCCCTCCTCCTCCTCAGATTCTACCACACCCCACGTCGTGCGCTTATTCCTTTATTTATTTTTTATAAAGTATAGCGTTCATAAATTTTTATTTAAAAAAAATAAAGCGTTAGGAAATCAATTGACCGAAATCGCCTGAAGATACCAAAAGGTTGAAACAAAGGCAG